ATAGTTATATCATTAATTTTTAGACATGTTAAGTTTAAAATGATGGTGTGATATCCATGTGGCAACATTCTGAAGTCTGTTGGAGGAGTAAAACTGTAAGTAGATAAAGAGCAGATTGGAATAACATATTATGGGTCTTTCACATGCAGGTGATACTTTAAACATAGAAATGACCTCTAAAGAAGAACCTCTTAATATTATGCACTGAAAAGAGCACAATATCACTTCTACAATATTCTTGCCAAAAAGGCATACTTGAACTTAGTGATGAGGAAACTTCAGCCAAACCCAAATTGAAGGACATTCTTCAAAATAACTGGGCAGTGTTCTTCAAAAATGTCAAGGTTATAGCAAAGAAAGACTGAGGAAATGTCACAGACTAGAGTGAACTAGAGCCAGGAAAACTAAGTGCAGTGCAGGATACTAAACTGGATACTGGACAGGAAAGAACCATTAGTGGGAAATCTGAATAAAGCCTGTAGATTAGTTAACAATATTGTATTAATATTGATTTCCTGATTTTGATAATTGTACTATGCTCACGTAAGATGTTAACATGAGGAAGCTGGGTGAAGGGTAATACAGTGCCACTTTGTACTATTTCTGCCATTTTTTTGTCCTTAAATTTTTTCAAAATAAAAAGTTAAAAAAATTTTAAGAACAACTACGTAAGATGTTAACATGAGGAAGCTGGGTGAAGGGTAATACAGTGCCACTTTGTACTATTTTTGCCATTTTTTTGTCCTTAAATTTTTTCAAAATAAAAAGTTAAAAAAATTTTAAGAACAACTAAAAAAAAAAAGATGCTCACACAATGCAATGTATGTGGATTCAGTAAGGAACTATTATTTGCTAAAGAACTCAGTTGGCTGCAGAGATTTTTCTTTTGTGTGGCAATAAGACAAGCAGACTGAAATGATTAGGCTCTCAGTCTCTAAACTAGACTCTTCAGGATGATATAGACCAGTAAAGCAACTGGCAGGGAGTACAGGATAACAGTTCACTAATGGACATTAATTATGTTCTTCATAATTAATACAGAACTAGAATCGCTTTATTTATTTGATTCTCAACACGACTCAGTGAGGGAGGTAGGCTGTTACTCACTTTCCAGATGAAGAAAGTCTAGCTCAGAGAGGTGGCATAGACTCAAGGTCACACAGTTAATAATAAGTAGTGTTGAAACAAGAATCAGTATTCTGATTCCAAGCTCAAAGCTCTTTCCATCACATTAAATACCTCTATTCTTACGTCATAGGAACAACAAATATATCTACAGTTATACACCAAACCATTCCCCCAGCTTCAAATAAACAGTTCTGGATCATGAATCAGAAAACTTGGTTTCTGGTAGTAGTTATGGGATCCTGGGCAAGTTACTATTTTTTCAACACCAAACAAGAAGGATGACCTAGAATACATGCAAAGTCTAGTCTACAATTCTAACCCTGTCATCTGTTTACTGTGGTAAATGTGCAATTCTGGATGGCTATCTCATTAATTTTGCAGCCATGTTCCCAAAAAACACTTCATACCTAGTGCAGATGCTCTAACAGTTGAAGAAACTCTGAACAAAACGTTACCATATTCTCAAACCCCCATCTGTGTAAGTGAAAATGTTGGCTGAAAAGAAATTTCTTAAGGTACCAACAGGTAAGATTTAGCAGTAACATTTTCATCATGACTTCTCTGTTCAAAATTTTACAAAGGTTTAATATTTTCTTACTTACATCAAGAATATTACTCAAATTTGACCCTCCCTCTATTCCTACTGTATCTGTTAAGGTCCTCATCTTCTTTCTCCTTCTATTAAATGAACAGCTTTCTAACTGATCTTCCTGCTGTAATTGTCTCCTTATTCCAGCTTATTCCCTACCATAGTGCCATAAGTATTGGAACAAAACATAGATGGAAATAAACATAGGCTGACAGGAAGGAAGAAGTAGCTTTCAGGAGGAGAAGAGAACAGCCAAAAGAGGTTGGATAAGAGCAGGCAGTAGAAGAGATACCTTGGAGAGTAGGAACTTCATTTGGTGATGTCAATCCATGTTTAAAAACTTCCAGTGGTTTACCACAGACAATAAGATCAGATGCAAACTACTTACTTAGTCCAGCATATAGGACCTTCACCCTCTTGTGCTTGGCCCACTTCTGGTCAATCAAGCTCTGGCTACATCAATTTTTTTCATATTTTCTGAACATTTACGACCCTTTCAAGCCCTGAGGATTTTTGCCCATATAGTATTTTTCTGCCTGAAGTGCCTTCCACCTTTTCTACTCCTGCTCCTGATTTAAGATTTGGATGAACTATCACCTCTTCTGTGAAGGGCTCACTCTCAAAGGTTTAAATACAGTTCTCTTAGAGTACTTATGATTTACATTGTAATTATTTATATGTGCTTCTTCTATACTAAAGATCAGCTCTTGAAAACAGGGGATGATGTACTTATTATTATGCCTTAGTGTTTAGTGTAACATCTGACAAATAGTGAGTGCTGAACGAAGATCCAACATACTGCCTGGAATAAAAGATACTCTGCCACACTCAAGTTTTATTTTTTATTGCAGGGTTCTTATTAATCCTTACAAATGCCTCACAAATTTCTACTCTTACAAATTTACAAGCCTCACTCTTTTCTGAATTCCAGTTGTACTTAAGTCAGTTACTACCATGTAGTTGAGCACATTTTTTAATGACATCGGGAGTCTTGTCTCCCAACTATACAGCAAATTCCTTAGAATATTCTAAGGTAATTAAGTTAAGTAATAAATGAATACAATTACTCATTTTCTAATATACCGTGATCATATCAAAGATATTATCTGATTCTGTGGGCAAATTCATATACCTAGAATGTCCAAAGTTCTGACATTTTTGTATGTACCTGAATTTGAAGTTTATTACTTCCAAACATACCTTTTTTTTCACTGCAAAATATCAAGGTAAATAATTGGCCTTTATAGAATCTTTGCACTTACCTGGGGTTCATAACAAGACGTCGGAAAAAGTAAGTCCAAGTGATATAATCCATTGCGTCTTGCTTAGATGTTATTGTACCACCAGCAATCTCCGCATTTAAATGGTCAGAAAGCACTCCTAATAAGCTATATAGTGAACAAACCATGAGATATATACATGAACATTCATTAAATGAAACACACTTAAATTTAACTCACATAGTTAACATTCAGA